AACGATCCGGCGATGAGGCCAACAACGTGTTAAACGCAGGTGCATGGATCATGACACATAGCACGCGGTGTGGGGACAGGCTGTCACGTGTCACCAAGCTTTGATGTTTTTTCGTTTTTAAAATGGTCCAAGGCGGAACAAGTCTTGTTTGTTGTTCCAGGAGACAGGAGCACATGTATAATAGTACATATATATAGTTTCTGCTAATATAACCTGGAGTGAGTGCCAACTTGAGTTTCCTTGCAGGATGCAGAATAGTTTTAGCTGAAAGGGCTTGGTCGCTTGGACGACTTTACCCATCTGCCTACACCTCTCGTCTCTTTTCCTTCTTTGAGAGGACGCGACGTGTTTTTTTAATTCCTTTTTCACTTCCTTTGGAGTTTGGCCTACCGGATTGGACCTCTCTTCCCAGTTCCCACCACCACAATGCACAAACCACACCTAGATCCAATCACCACGCACGCCACGGAGGGAAAAAAAAAGATAATTATTTTTTTAGCTCTAAAAAAGTTTCGCTTCCTTCTTCAGCCTTTTTATTTTTTATTAAACTTGCCCATTTGGTCCGAAAGCTATATTTGATTCCTTATATGGCTCTTCCGTTAGTTTATGCCACTTAACAGTGTTAAGTCATGAGTAAATGATGATTTTACCCTTGGGCAAAAATTGAATCAATGTAGAGTTCAATTTTTCTGTGTTTAATTTCGAGCAATATTTTATATGGAATATATTATTCTTAAACATGGAAGCATTTTGGCCCTGACTAAATATTGCTCAAAGTTAAATATAGACAAATTGAACTATGCACTGATTCATTTTTCACCAAAGAGTAAAATCGTTATTTTGTCCCTAACTTAACACCGTTAAGTCCCACAACTAATGGAAGGGCCATGTAAGGAATTAAAGGTAGCTTTTAGGGCAAATAGGTAACTTCAAAAATAAAAAGACCAAATGTTCAAAAAAAAGACCAAAGAAGGAAGCAAAACTTTTTTTAGACCATGGAAATAATTCTCTCAAATAAAAAAAATCTTTTCCCTGACTCTCTCATTCCGTCATGCGGCGATCGTGTGAAACGTACGGGCGCATATTAAACTGCGGCGGGCCCCACTCAACTCGCCGGAATTGCAATGCAGCGCTGGTGGTCACTACTCCAATTCCAAGCAGCACATGCACAGCAGCTTTACAGCAACGCCGTCGCCAGCGACTGAGAGGCAGGCAGACGTAGACAGGGCTGGATAAAATACTCGAGGCCCTCAACTCGCTCGATTTGTGGCGGTTCAACTTCACTTGGACTCGTCTCGTTTTAATTTTTTCCATGACTTAGCTAAAAGTCTAACTCGCTATTTTAAGGAGTCCTTACGAGCTGAGGCCTATGAGCCCACGACCATGAATCCAGAAGATGATGATGCTGATCTAGAAGTGTACACTTATTCTATTGGTATGTAATTCTTTTTTTCAGTTGTTTCATATGAATTTTAATTTTATAATTGTTGTGGTACTTAAATGTTGATTTTATGGATTGTTTCAGGAAGAAGATGATGATGCTAACATTGAATTTGTAGGCTTTTTGAAGTTTGTAGTGGTAAGTAACTAGTTAGTATTCTGGAACTGCATGATTATGGATGGATCAGCTATGTTGCATGGTTGATACTTTTGATGAATCTGATATGTATTAATCATATATGGTTGTATAATGGTAGACGTCACCTTTGAAATTAATGTAGCATAAACATTATAAACATATATGTCCTATTTTTTTATAACTCGCGAGCTAAATGAGCCAGCTCGAGCTCGGTAACGAGCCGAGCTGAACTGTCCCTCTAACTTGTAATATTAACGAGCCAATTCAAGCTAGCTTATTAGCCTAACATGTCAGTTCAAGCTGGACCGAGTCGAGTCGAGCTGGCTCGATATCCAGCCCTAGCTGTAGACCAGCAGCAGTGGCCCAGCATCGTTTCGGCCTGTCCCTTCCTCTCTCTCACTCCCCCTCCCCCTCCCAGGTGCGAGCCTGGGCCCACCAAAACCGCTAGGCAGCCCATCAATCAGCCCATCGCCCCACCAGACCAGGCACGCGCTCCTCCTTTCCCGCACAGCAGCCACGTCCGTTTCGCGGGCACCGTCAGGCTCCGTGCCGCGCAACCCTCGTAGGAGTAGTCGTTTTGGCTCCACACATCGACCGGAGAGAACACGGCTCGGCAACGACGTTTCTATCTATATACGTATGTTCGGTTTGCGTCCACGCGTGCCTGCAGAACGACGCTGCAGCCGGCGTCATCACTCACCACCGTGTGGCACCAAGCGCAGTAGGACGGCGACCGGTCGATCAAAAAAAAAAAAATCGGACTGCTGTGGGCAGACAGCCTCCGTAGTTTTTGCGTTGGAAGAAAACCTCTCACGCATGTCGAAAAAACCTCTAAACCTCATATTATATTCTCACAAAGGGGCCCGTAATCCTGTGAGTGGACCGAAACCTTTTTATCGTGCTTTGAAATACGGGACAGACGATGAGGTTTTTTTTTCGAACAAACTACGTATTACCGCAGCTGTGCCCGCGGCAGCCAGAAGTCAAACTCCCGACCGGGGCCTTCCCACGACGGGGACGGAGCCACTCGATCCACAATTCAAGTGAAGTCGCCGGCGAAAGGTCTGAGGCGATGGGCGCACACTCACTATGGCCTTAACGCGCAAAGCAAAGCACCAGGCAAGGCAACAACAACCCAACATGTACAACAGTGGGAGGAAAAAAAATGCTTTTGCACATCAACACCCCCACACACATGACATCCTGAGAGGCTGAGAGGCCAGCGCAGATATTATACTTGGAGCTGTGCTGGTTTTATCAAGGGGGGATTCTTTGTGTGCCATTAAAAAAGATCACAATACTTGTGTGTTTTTGGAAAAGCTTAGCGGTCTTTAGCGCTGCTGCTCCAACTTTTTTATGCCCTCCATGCCACTGCCGTCAGTTTGTGCTCTAACGCCGTCAAATTGCAGGTGTGAAAAGTCGAAAATACCCTTAAATCTAAATATATCATTAATTTTTTTGAGCATCTTAACGACTTCAAATGAAAAAACTTCAAAACTAGAAAGTTGTAGATCTCGTCGAGATCTATAATTTTTATATAAAAATTATCTTCATTTAATTCCAGAAAAAAATATGATTTGAAATGATTAATATATCTTAGAAAAATCATATCTTTTTTTTTACGAAATTATATGAAAATAATTTTTATATAAAATTATAGATCTCGACGAGATCTACAACTTTTTAGTTTTGAGTTTTTTCATTTGAAGTCGTTAAGATGCTCAAAAAAATTAATAACATATTTAGACTTGAGGGTATTTTCGACTTTTCAGACCGCAATTGACGACGACGTAAAGTTCAAACCGACGGCGATGGCATGGAGCAAGCATAAAAATGAGCAGCAAGCAACGCACTAAGCTTTTCCAAAAACACACAGGACATTACGATCTTTTTTAATGGCACGTAAAAAATTCTCCCTTTATACAACTAGGATGAAGCAGAGCAAGAGAGGAACGAGCGAAAAAGAGGGAGCAGGAGCCATGATCCGACGCCTAAAGCCGGCCAGAATCGGGGCGCTTTATTCGGTCCGGCCCACCACCAAAAGAGGCAGTTATTAGAGCAGAATATAGAGATGAATGAACCAACTTGGGCGCAGAATCTAACGCCTATCGTTCCTTCTCTTTCAGATCCCTCCAAGAGTCAAAACCATCCAAAAGCCGGGCGGGGGCCTCCGCTCCGGGACGACGAATGGATGGATGCACACGTGCCGACGCGCGCGGCCGAGCACATCACATTCCTTGGTTGCAGGAGAGAGAGAGAAGGGGCTGGCCTGGGCGCGCGACCGCGAGTGCCACCCTGACAGAATCCACTTCGGGCACGGAGATTCCAGAGGCCACCCAAATACTATTCGCTCTCTTTCCCCGGCAGTGCGCTGGTGGCTGGTGCTCCCGCAACTACGGGTGGCCGGCTTTCCTCCCTGCCTGCAACTTGCTCGCCGCACCTGTCAGCTTGCCTTGCTGCCGCCGAGGCGGGAGCTGCGCGATTCCATATATCCGTGTAAAGGAGGCCCTGAGATCGATTCCGATTCCACTGCCGGACTGTATTCGCGTCCTCTTGAACGAATCACAGAGCTCTTGCACTTATCCGAGAAAAATGTAGCACTACCGATTCCATTCCTATAGCCCCCTAGGCAGTGGGCACCGAGGTTATCCGGTGCCTGTGCGGCTGTGCGAGCCTGAAGAACAGAGAGACCACGCACGGAGCGCGGTGGATTCCGAGCCGTAATCATGGACGCGCTTCGAGATGCTGCCTTCCCTGTACGTCTGCAGGCGTCGGACGTGACGCCAGAGCAATGGCCAGATCAATTTGGCCATTTGGGCACCGCCGCACGACCCCATTGGGCGCGATTGGCATCGGGCCTCGTCACTCACCGCTCACTCACTCGGGCCGCACTCGCTTTCTCCCTCGCATCGCAATTGTTGGGCTCAACGCAAAGGAGATCGACCTCATGGAGTCATGGTCATGGGTCATGGCAGACATGCACGGATCGCAGTATACAGGGAAAAGAATAATCGTCCTGTTTATTTTTTCAACCAACGAACAATATTTTTCTCTCACAACAAATCAACCACCCGTACTTTCAGCCATGGTTTATCAACCAAACGAACGAACAAATCATGGAGGGTTGAAAGCATAGGAGAATAAAACGAGCCGGAAATGATAGGAGGCACCAGGGGCATGCTCAGCGTAAATAGAACGAGTAAACGGGGCAATGAAGGACCGACTTTAGATCTGAAAATGTACAAGGATTCTCAAGCTCAGATCTTGCGCCCATAAGCAAGCATCCTGACATCTGACAGAGCAAACATGAAAGTCAACTAACCGTTCAAGGTCACCGGGGTTCCATCGCAAGGTATCAGTTGAGCCAGTGGGTACGAGAAAACAGTCCTATGTACAAGCATAGCAACCTAACCAAATTAGTTCACCTTCTTCCATAGCCACGGTAGAACCCACCAGCGACCCAGTAGTGCTGCCGAACACCACCTCTGCTTGGGCCGACCCAGGTAACACGATCAGCAGGGGTCTCGTCAGTTCTTCCTCCCTGACCCCCATTCCCACTTCCCTGCGACGTTGCGTTCAGTTCTTCCTCCCTTTCGTTGTATTCAAGAATTTTCCGCTTGATGTTCTGCTTCTCCTCGAGCTCAGCAGCACTCTGCTGCTTCGTGCTCTGCACCAGTGGGCAGTCCCCCGGGATGAGCATTTGCTTTGTCTGCTGCTTATGCCCTTTCTTCACAAGCACCTTGAAGCACACCTCGCTAGCACCACCGGATCCGGATTTGACTAACTCATCACACACGTTTTCTTTGCCCGCTGCTTCAGTAGTCATCAGGTCCTTTGACCCCTTGAAGGTACTCATTGGTTCCTTCATGTTCACAGTGGGCCTGGCCGGCTCCAACTTACGTGACTCCAAGCTTTCCAGAAGAATGGCTTTCAGCTCCCTGTCAAAGTCTTCTTGGTCCTTAGGGTCAACTTGCACCTTCTTTTTCTGAACCTCAACAGTTTCCTCTTCATCGGAACCAACAGGCACAGTAATGTCCTCAATGCGATCTTCATTTTCCAGCCTGTCATCCAATCTCTCTTTACGCGGAAAATCTTCCTCATCTTCATGACCATTCCGATATCTGCTTGTGCTATCTGTAGAGTTCTCACCGTTTGGTGCTTCTTCATGGTCCCTACCATTTTTCTTGGATATATTTGCTGTCATCTTGTCATTGGCATCAAATGCAACATTCTCAGATTGTTTCGACTGTGATTCGCTGTCCCAGTGACTTTCATCTCCACCTTTCCTGGCTGCAGCCACGTGCTCATTTTGTTCAAGCTCAACTAGCGCATTATTCAATCCTTCCAGAGATGAATGCCTCGTCATGTTGGGTCGCAGCTCAGCAAACATATCCTTCAGCACACACAAATGAATCAGAATTCAGAAGCCATACCTATTGACTAGAATAGAACTCATACTTTTCATTAAGTCTAGATGGAGCTTAGACTCCACTAATAATGCCTGGAATTTGCAACCTCTACCAAGTTCTTGATGTTTAGAACAAGGACTAACCTGAACATCAAATTCTACATCCAGTGGTAATGGCCCTTTGCTGAGAGCATATCTTTGGAACAATAGCAAAAAACTGTCAAGCTTTCTTTTTGAAGAGCCTCTAGTAAAATAGTGACCACAAGTCTGTAAAAGTGTAATGACCAGCCTGATCCTGAAAAAATCTTCGAGGGGATCAAGCAAATCTTGCTGCACAGGACACAAACAAAGGATGGTATGTTTTTTGTAAATAAATAATAAACGTCGACACATAGATTAATAAAAAAATATACAATTAGGCGCCCATAAAGCATCAGAGATAATTGGTAAGAACAAAGTTCAGAAAAAATTATTAAACATGCAAACCAGGAATTCGAGATCCAAAGTATCCCAGAAAAAAAATGTGAGGCTCCTAGGTCATACAAGGTTTTGGAAGGAAACAGAAATGCATACCTAACATGCTTCAGAATGGCAAGGCCAAAAGTTGGTTTATTCAAGAAAATCTTACTAAGTGTGTGATCTTTTTAAGAAAAAATATTAAATCAGGATGCGAGCTGCAGAAATGCAGCACTTCCAAATTCCATAAGAAAAACTCAAGGAATACAGATGATAAGTTGCCTCCAATTTTGCTAGAGTAAAAAATTTACCTCAGATGTTCCATGACCAAATACAATAATAAGGTTTAGTGTCTCAAATATAACTGATGAATCAATGCACTCATAATTATATAGGTCTCCAAGGAATCGCATATGGGCAAGGCGCTGTTGCTGCATTGCATAGTCGTTTAGCTCAAGTCCAACTCTAATCTCCTCTAGAACCTGCGTCCAAATATAAAGGATAATATTAACATCTCCTGTGTGCTTTATAAAAAAAACATCTCCGTGTGTACATACATTAATTAAATGATGTTCATATTATGTTTCAAGTTGTTGCTTATGCAGATACCAAATCGTCAAAAGAAATTAAACTATTGATACTGCTTTAAGCTCGGCTATAGCTGACAATCTCAAATGTCCAATCACAAAAGAAGAAAACAGATGAAGGCAGTGTACAATTTGTTTTGATACGGGTTAAGCAAAATCAAAACAGCAAGTCAAGTACCAAACTCAGCATCCAAATCAAAGAAATGTGGTAACAGTACAAAAGTGCAGGATTAAGGCCCAATTCATGTTGTAAGTTTGCATGTCATAAACATTTTCATGTAAAGTGAAAAGACATAATTTTTCACTGCTCCTTGAATTGGAACAACTTCCCATTTCAACTAAAGTAACTCACCTCGTCTACCACAACCACAGCAAAGTCATCATGATAGCGACTAAGACCAGCAGTGAGTAGAGCAATCAGGTGAACCTGGCTATACTTTCCCTTGTGGACCTTAAGAAAACACTTCACAATGTACTGTTCACACTCTGCCCAAGGTAACTTGAGTAACTGAAGAAGAATATGTTGAACAGTTGTTTTGTCGAGATCTGAGAAAAGTAACCTCCTTATGTACTGAAAGCATTAAAAACAATTAGTATATTCCACTTAATTTTTTATGTACAAGTAACCAGACTTTAGAGACTCTGGAGGAAAGCAAATCAGATTACAAATGAAATCTTACTTGATGTAGAGGTGGTCGAACTTTAGATAACCTGGAAGATCTTTCTGGAGGTTTACATAGGTAATAGGCATTTTCTACAAGTGTGGTATGGTGTGCATCCAAATTCTTGACATTTTTCAATCTGTTCAGTACCTCCAACATGTTTGACATGCGAATTGTAGTTTCTCGTGAACGATAAAGAAAACATCCACAGGTCTCCAGAAGATTGCAGGCCACGTCAATGTTATGATGAGTGAAATCATCTAAGCAAGCCTGGAAATATGGAAGGATTGCAAGACTAAGTTAAGCACATATGAAAGTATCTTGAGACCAAGTTAAGTTCAAAGTAATTTGAAGTGAAGAAAACATAACACAGTAGCTGATGTGAAGTAAAAACATAAACAAAGCCATCACAAACTTTAAAAATTGGAGTGAGTAAGCTGGCAAATGCTAATTCCATATGTGAACTGTGTAGATGTATATACCTTCAAACATCTAAAGACAAGGCATGGTGGTGCAATTTTGAATTTGCACAGCTCTCCAATAAACCTAATGTTTCTAATTTTTGTTTCAATTTTGATCTGATCCTGAAAAGGGAACATAGTCGATAACCAGAGTTAGCGCTGACGCAGGAACTGCAAAATATATTGCCATGGACTAAAGCAAGCTTTCTTCTGGTAACAAATGATACTGCACTATTAATATGAACAAACCTTCTTATTTATCAAAAAACTAAACTCCTCTTCAAGCATCGACAATAGCAAACTTGGAAGACCCTTCATAAATGGGGACAATGTGGCAACTAATCGAGAATAGTAAGGTAGTAGTTCCAAAGAAGTCCTTGGAACACTGAATAAGGCTCGCACAAGTTTCTTCCTGTTTGCTTTAGAATTCAGGTAGCAAAACTCTACCTGCAAAAAGGAAAATGAGTTTATAAAAGGGGCCTGAGTAACAGACCCATATGTACAGAAATAAAAAAACATAGCAACTCTTCTTACCGTCAATTGATCAATTAGATCACGGCTGCCACATCTTGGCAACTTCTGCAGCAGGCTATCCAAGCTTGCACCATCTATGCCTCGCACTTTCTCTCTTTCAGCACCATCTTCTCTGCTAACCTTTTCTTGATTTTTTTCTTTAGCCAATCTTTCTGTTTCTGTGTTCTCTCTATTCTTGGGTTCATCATTTGCTATTCTGTCAGTTTGATGTTCAGAGACAGAAGTTTCACCATTCTCTTGTACTTCAGTCTGTGGTTGCATGGAACACTCCTAATTAAACAAAACCAGTAAGCTTAGCAGTTAGTAAAGACTAACTTAACTGAACATCACACCAAAGAAGGAAAAACCTAGTTGGAGAAGGTGCGGCCATCATGCAAACGATAGAAACATTCATCTCTTCCAGAACAAAAGGTTGAAAAAGGAAATAGAAGTACAAAATAGGGTAGCTTTTTTTTTAAGGAAAAATAGGGTAGCTACAAAAGTGAATAGAAAATATATACTATTATAAGTGGAGGAGATCAGCCAGACTATATACTATAAGTTCAAAACTAGTAATGCATATGTGTGTCAAGGCCTAAAAGTACAAGAGGGTCAGGGAAAAAGAGAAGAAAGAACTAAAAAAACAAAGGACTATGCCTGTGCCCCTGCCACCAAAGATGGAAAACCTTAGGCCTTGTTCGGTTGCTCTCGAAATGAAAGGGATTGAAGGGGATTGGAGGGGGTTGAGGACTTGTAGGGGATTTAATCCCCCTCAATCCCTCCCAATCCCCCTGGTTTGGGAAATGGGAATCAAACAGAACAGGGCCTAAATGGGATTTTTTTTTTAAGGAAAATGGGAGAAGAAGGAATGACTAGATAGCTGCAAACTTGGAAGTCGCCATGACAATGTTTAAAACTTCAGTACTTAAAGCCATAATCAAACCTTCTATTAATTTCTGAAAACAGTTACAGTGCAAAGTATTTGAGAGACTTACGTTAGATTGTTCATGAACCTTTTCATGTTGCTCTAGCAACTTCGGTTCAACTTCCCCCAGTAGTACAGCAGGCACAAATGCTCTGCTCAAAACAAATCGGTTACACAGGTGGAAAGAAAAATCAATTATAGAATTACTAACAATTTTGTAGTGTGCACAGAGAAGTAAAATATCATTAGCAATCTAAGGAAAAACCTGAGGTCAGGTAAAGATTCATAGAAAGCCTTCATGTCTTCGTCATCCCATATAAGTTGTACTGCAGAGGATTCTTTCCCAGAAGGAGGTAAGTTAGTGCCTGTGGTAACCCTAGTTGTATGTCCATCTTCTGGCATAACAGGAGGCTGCATATCAAGAGCTTCAGCTAAACTACAAGACAATATATTCAAAATATTTGTCAGCACCATTATACACAGGCGATGTATATGGTACTTCCATTGTAGCAATGAGGTAAAGAAAAAACTGGACTATTTGCAAAGGTATAGCCTGTTTCTTTTTTATACTTCATGTAATAACTAGAAATGATATTCCTCAAAAGAAAGGAACTAAGGGCCTGTTTGGTTAGCCCCTCCTAAAGTTTAATCAGCTAAATCTAGTCCCATTTAGTCACTTTTCACCCAAACACTGACTAAATGGGCTTTAGCCAACTAGTCACCAAATTGTTGCTAAAAGGGACTAAACCTCACATTTTAGTCACTTTGGAGCCAAACACCCTGACTAAAAGGCATCTTTTAGTCTCTTTTAGTCAACCAAACCAAACACCCAGTGACTAAAGTTTAGTCCCTAGTTTAGGTGACTAAAGTTTAGGAGGGGGAAACCAAATAGGGCCTAAGATGGACTACCAGAAACTACTAGCCAACTAAGATGGTCTCCCATAAATGTTACTCCCTCCGTCCCAAAATATTTGACATTTTCGGTTTGGACACAAGAATTAAGGATGAGTGAAAAGGTGTGGTGCACATAAAACAAAAAGGAGAGATATATAGATGTATTGAGAAAAGAAAAAGGTACATTGAGAGAAGAGAAAGGTGCATTGGGAAGTGAGAAGGTCAAGTATTTTGGGACAAAATTTGAATCCTATAAGGTCAAGTATTTTGGAACGGGAGGGAGCACGTGGTTTAGAGTCAAAGGTTTTTATTAGCATAATTTCTGCTAGCTCCTATCCTGGTGGGAAAATATTCTTTTCTACAAAAAATGAAAGTTTTACACTAAGAAAACAATCTGGATTGAAGACTGAAAAAACAGAGTAATTATTTTCCAATTCAGTGCACAGAATAAAGGACTAGTTGTATGGATACATAACCAATTACTTAAGAAATAAATAAAACAAAGATGTTACTGCGCAAGAGAACTCACGAGGAAACACAATGCAATAACTGATCGAAAGATCTTCGAAGGTTCTCATATGAGGCAGTATTTTCATCACTTAGTTCTCCTTTGGCATTCAAATTTTTTGCATTTTCTGACTCCATCACACAAAGAGACTGCATAGTTGAGTTGGTTGTTAATGCATAAGATGGTAGAGTACCACATAAACTAAAAAATACGGTAGGGCTCCACTATTGTATTTCTCTAAAGAATACCGGGTTAGTAAATGTCAAGGGCTTCAAGCCCTAGGGTAGCCGGCCCTCGACTACGGAGATCGTAGTCGCGGTCCGTCTTCTAGGGCGAGGTTTTACCCCTCAGCGGCCTAGGCTTGAGAATCGAGAGATAGGAGATGGATTAGTTGATAATTCTTTTCTTCCCTCCAAAGTGCCAGTTACAGGAGGATATATAATCCTTGATGGAATAAAAATAGCAACTAATCCCTCCTTAATCATAGGGATACTAACAACTGTTGCCTAAACTAGCCACTCGATGGCTCAGCCGCCTCCTGGGCCGCGTCCGCGGCGCGCTGGGCGCGCTCTGCCGCCCGTCTGATGTTGCGGGTCCGGCACCGCCTAGTGTAGGTCCGGCCGTACATGACATCTCTCCCCTCCTCCTGTACCAGCTCGTCCTTGAGCTGGAACGTTGGGAAACGCGCGCAGAAGGAGTCCCGGTCCTCCCAGGTAGCTGATGACGCCGGCTCGCCCTTCCAGCGGACGAGGACCTGACGCACGCCGCGAGCAAGGCGAGTGCGGGCGACGCTGTCCGGCTCAGGGACTGTGGCGCCATTGTGGATGACCGGGAGCGGCGGGGGAACCGCTAGAGGGGAACCCTCCCATTTCTTCAGTAGCCCGACGTGGAAGACGTCGTGTAGCCGAGCTCGGGGCGGCAGTGCGACACGGACGGCGACGGCGTTAATGATCTCTGTGACCTGGTAGGGGCCGAAGAAGTGAGGCTTCAGCTTCCCGGTGGCCGCATCTGGGAGGGAGGCGATGGGGCGGTGACGGAGGCGCAGCAGCACCCAATCGCCCACGGCATAGGCCACCGCACGATGCTGCTTGTCGTAGTGCCGCTTCTGGACCGCCTGCGCTTGTTCCAGCCGAAAGCGCACGTCGTGGAGGAACTCCGCGCGCTCGGCCATGGTTTTGGCGACCGCAGCAACGTGCGTCTCCCCAGGCTCATAAGAGCGGATGGTCGGAGGATCGTGGCCATAGGCGATGCGGAAGGGTGTGTCGCGGAGCGACGTCTGGTACGCCGTGTTGTAGACGAACTCCGCCCACGGAAGCCACCTGAGCCATTGGCGGGGATGATCGCTGGTGAAGCAGCACAGGTACATGATGATGACACGGTTGGCCGCCTCGGATTGGCCATCCGACTGCGGGTGGAACGCCGTCGTCATGTGCAGCTTGACCCCCATGAGCCGCATCAACTCGCGCCAAAACGTGGAGGTGAAGATGGGGTCCCGATCGGACACCATAGACTGCGGCATCCCGTGGAGGCGGACGATGTCGGAGAAGAAGGCCTGAGCGACGGACTCTGCAGTGTATGGATGAGCCAGTGGAATAAAATGACAATATTTGCTGAATCGATCCACCACGGTGAAGATGACGGATTTGCCCCGGACTTTGGGCAAAGCTTCCACGAAGTCTAGCCCAATGTCGGACCACACCGCCGTTGGTACGGGCAGCGGCAAGAGGAATCCGGCGGGGTGGAGGTGCTCCGACTTGTACCGCTGACAAGTGGCGCAGGCACGGACGAAGTCCTGAACGTGCTGGCGCATGCTGGGGAAGTGGAAATCGCGGCGGAGTCGATGGAGCGTGCGCTGGACGCCCTCGTGTCCGTCCTCATGGACCGCAGCGACGATCTCCAAGAGCAGTGGCGACGACGGGGCGATGTAGAGGCGGCCGTCGTAGGTCACAAGGCCGTCGTGGACGGCCCAGGGCGCCGCACGGGTGCCTGCGACAATCTCGTCCCGTAGGGCGACGAGAGCAGGGTCCCCGGCCTGTGCTTGACGCAGGCGGGCGATGAAGTCAAAGCGTGGCGCCGATAGTGCCAGTACTGTACCGTGCTGTCCTCGGTGTCGCGGCGAGACAGAGCATCGGCGACCGTGTTCTGGGCGCCCGGCTTGTACTCGACGACGAAGTCGAACCCCAGGAGCTTCCCGACCCAGTGATGCTGTGGGATCGTGGCAAGCCGCTGGTCCAGCAAGTACTTCAAGCTGTAGTGATCGGTCCGCACCGTGAAGCGACGTCCCCAGAGGTAAGGGCGCCAATGGCGGATGGCGTGGACGAGACCGATCAGCTCCCGTTCATAGGCAGCGAGGGAGCGGTGGCGAGGAGCAACCGGCCGGCTGAAGTAGGTGATGGGGTGCTTCTCCTGGATGAGCACCACCCCGAAGCCGTGGGTCGACGCGTCGCACTCAACGCATTTAACGGTGGCAAGTCGGGCAACGCCAAGATCGGGCGCCGATGTCACGGCGGCCTTGAGGGCCGCGGAACGCCGCGGGCGGCCTCCTCGACCGCATTTAAGCCCTCCTTCTTGAGAGCGCCGAAGAGGCCGCCGCGATCGTCTGCCGAAGTTGTGGACGAACTTGCGGTAGTAGCCCGCAAGGCCTGTGAAGCCGCGCACCGCACGCACGCGCCGAAGCGGGTCGGGGCGATCATGGACCGCCGCACCTTAGCAGATCCATGGCGGCGCCCGCGGCCGAGAGATGATGTGGCCGAGGTAGGCGATGGAGGTGACGCCGAACGCGCACTTTGAGCGCTTGACGACAAGGCTGTGGTGGCGCAGGACGGAGAGGACGGCTCGGAGGTGGCGGAGGTGATCCGCCCATGATGCACTGTAGATTAGAATGTCGTCAAAAAATACGAGAACGAACCGGCGGAGGAAGGCGCGCAGGACGTCGTTCATCAGCGCCTGGAAGGTTGCCGGGGCGTTGCAAAGCCCAAATGGCATCACCAGGAACTCGTACAACCCGTCGTGTGTACGGAAAGCCATCTTGGCGATGTCCTCGGCCGCCATCCGGACTTGGTGATAGCCGGAGCGAAGGTCGAGCTTGGTGAAGAACTTGGCGCCGCGCAGTTCGTCGAGCAGCTCATCGACCACCGGGATCGGGAAGGCGTCCTTAACCGTGATGGCGTTCAAGGCGCGGTAGTCGACGCAGAAGCGCCATGAGCCATCTGCCTTCTTGACGAAGAGGACCGGGGACGAGAATGCCGACGAGCTCCGCCGAATGAGCCCTTGCTGCAGCATGGCAGCACACTGCCGCTCCAGCTCGTCCTTGTGCGTGGCCGGGTAGCGGTAGGGGCGCACGGCCACCGGCTGCGACCCTGGCTCGAGGACGATGTGGTGGTCGCGGCTCCGAGGAGGAGGCAGGCCACTCGGCTCGGCGAAGAGGTCGGAAAAGCCCTCAGCTCGTCTCGCCCAAAGCGACGCCCCTGGCCGTGGTCACGCGGGGCGCCGCGGCGGCGTCGCGGCCTGCCGGCCGCCAGCGGTATGTTCAGCTGCGCCTCGAGCTGAAAGAGACGGTGCGGTTGCTGAAATCCCGCACAATGGGTCCCAGCGTCCGCCACCATCGAGTCCCCAAGACCATGTCGAAGCCGGCGAGGGGCATGACGTAGAGGTCGGCGTGGAACGGCGTGCCGTGGATGGAGAACGCCATGTCGCGGGCGACGCCCACGCACGAGACGCGCTCACCGTTCGCCACCGTGGCGGTGAGGCGTGGTCGGAGCTGCAGGGGAAGGCCCGTGAGCTGCGCCGCGTCTTCCGAGATGAAGTTGTGTGTGGACCCCGAGTCCAGAAGCATGACGAGGCGAGTAGGGCCCAGCTGGACGTGGACCTGCATGGTGTCGCTGAGGCGGACACCGGCGATGGCCTGGAGGGAGAAAGCGGGTGTCTCCTCAACGCCCGCGTCCTCGGTGGCCTCTGTGTCGTCGTCCTCCACCATGCCATCTAGGAAGAAGAGCCGCTTGCAGACCCGGTTATGACCCCGGGTGAACTTTTCATCGCAGTTGTAGCAGAGGCCGAGGCAGCGACGTTCCTCTTGTTCCGCTGACGTGAGCCTCTTGATCGGTGGTCGGCCCTCGATGGCATCTGGTGTGGGGGCGGCCGCCTTGTTGGCCGGCGGCGCCGGTAGGAGCAGCCGTGTCGCCGAGCCGGAGGAGGGGCGGGCGCCCAGCGACCAGGGCGGCGGGACCACTGCATGTATCGCTCCCGCAGATTCGGTGACGGGCCAGCTCATCATTGCGGCCGCCAAGGACTGCGGGTTGTGCACCTGCACGTCGAGGCTGAGCGGGGGCAGCACGCCGCCGGTGAAGAGCTGGACGCGCTGCGCCTCGTCGAGGGGGCCCGCCGAGGAAGAAGCGCCTGGAACCGGTCCTGGTAGTCGGCGACGGTGCTGGTGCGGCGGCAGTCGGCGTGCTCGAAGAGGGGCGGCCCGTAGCGGAGATTGATGAGCTCCTTGAAACGGCGCCACGATGGAGTACCCTCGTCTGTTTGGACTTGGATGTACCACATCTGAGCCCCGTCCTCCAGGTTGTAGGAGGCCATCCAGACTTTCTCCTCCTCCATGATCCGTTGTTGATGAAAGTACGATTCGCAACGGTTAAGGAAGATCAGTGGATCGGACTTGCCATCGTACCTCGGGAAATCCATCTTCTGGAATTTCGGGGGCCGATCGACGGGGGGGCCGCCCTCGGCTTGCTTGGAGCCCGAGGATGACGAGTGATCGGTGGAGAGGGCCATGATCGCCTGCGCGTTGGCCGCTACGGTGGCCTGCAGGTTCTGGACTGCCTTCGCAAGTGACTCAACGGTGGTCTTCAGATCGTCGCCCATGCTGCTGGCGCAGGAGGACGCGGGCGACTGCTGCTGGAGCGGCGGTGCGGCGGCTGGAGGTGGGGTGGGTGGGTCGGCGGCTGTTGGTGGGGGTGGCGATCTGGCGCGGGAAGAAGAGGATCGCCGGGATCGTGATACCAGGTTGTCAAGGGCTTCAAGCCCTAGGGTAGCCGGCCCTCGACTACGGAGATCGTAGTCGCGGTCCGTCTTCTAGGGCGAGGTTTTACCCCTCAGCGGCCTAGACTTGAGAATCGAGAGATAGGAGATGGATTAGTTGATAATTCTTTTCTTCCCTCCAAAGTGCCGGTTACAGGAGGATATATAATCCTTGATGGAATAAAAATAGCAACTAATCCCTCCTTAATCATAGGGATACTAACAAATGTTGCCTAAACTAGCCACTCGATGGCTCAGCCGCCTCCTGGGCCGCGTCCGCGGCGCGCTGGGCGCGCTCTGCCGTGCGTCTGATGTCGCGGGTCCGGCGCCGCCTAGTGTAGGTCCGGCCGTACATGACAGTAAAAAATATAGTTACCACATGTTCTGACTGTAGAAGTTCGCTTGCTGCATCATAGTAAGAGTAAAAGGCTTTCTTGAAGAACCTCTTCTGATCATAAGTGATATTGAGGTCCATGAGGAACTGCAGCAGAGAAAATGATTAAATGAATCTAATGAGTAACCATGGCAACAGTAATAAACCTAAGATTTGGAAAGACTGTTGCGGTGTTGCCTATGATGGAATTCAAGCACAAATAACACTTTGCATACATATCATTGTGCTACAAATAAAGGCCCAAGAGATGAATGTACTACAAATATAGAGAGATTAGTCAAACTATCTTCCAGCATAATTTCAAGGTAACCCTCCTGAATATAACTAGAAAGAATATTGTTAATTTGCTACAGATAGAGATCTCCTGTGCCATCTAATGCTCAGTAAACGGGTTGCAGCAAAACTAAAATTTTCCTGACCTCATTATAAGCATCTTGCCCATGTTGTTGCAGTCCAAGAAAAATCTTTCCTTGGCGAGCAAAACTAGCAAGGAGAGACAAATTTGTCTGAGTTGTTTCCCGGTCTTTCAAATGCTCCAGTGATGTAAGATCTTTTATAATGGTGGTGAAAGTACTAGCATCTTCAACAATTCCAACAAAATACAGTTCCATTAGAAGTTTTAGTGTGCTTCGCTTCTTCAAGGCTCCTGCATTCTTGTCTAAATCCGGTTCTCCAGACTTCCCAGGATAGAAGGTCTTTAGGAGTTCTTCAATAAGGCAAGGAGAGAAGTCTATGTATCTTTGATGGAGCAGTGAGCAAATCTACATTCCATGGGAATTCACCATAATATTAACAGTTTACAGACAAGAATAATATCGCCAAAAAAATAAATATAACCTATATGTGTAATGCTGCACAACTCCACAAGCTAATAGCCTACAGATTTTGATGCCGATAAAAATTAGGGCAGCAGCATGCTTCTCTTATACAGAACACATTGCTTATCCATGTATGAAATAACTTATAAAGAAATGTATAATGAGCAAGGCTGTAGCTTACAAGACGGATTAAGTGTATATTTGTGAACTGATAAGACTAAGTAAACCAGATCCAGGTACTGTTAACATTGCGCATACCTGAACTGCAGCTTGTATGTCAGTAGAACGAAGCTTAGCAGCACAAATGTAAGAAACTGCTTCACTGACAAATTTGCTCAAGTTTACAGTTTTCAATTCTTCAATTAACCCGTCCTTCACTTCATCATTTATCACTTTAAGCTTCTTGATAATTGCTAAATTACGTTTAATACTTGAATCAAGAGTCCTCATGTGATTCGCATCTGAAATGAACAATTTGGTTACATCATAATCTATGTACATCAAATGTCAAGATTGACCACTCAATACACTAACAATCACCTGTGATACCAAAGCAAGAGGGTTCTAGAAATAGAAAAGGGAATAAAGAATATAAACATGCAAACCATCAGATAAGGTTTCAAAATGAAAATGAATGGACAGTTGTTTGATTGCTGACGTGGGAAGTGGGAATGGGAATTATTGGCAGAGGTTAATTTAATTTTACTGTTTGGTTTGAAGGTATTGTTGTATCAGGTTGTTTGTTACCATGGAAACTCAAAAACAATTTCAAGCAGAAATGGAAACAAAGGGTGTGTTTGGATCCTAGACTAGCATTTTCTTCTCAATCCCCAAGCAAAGCTTAGTGTTTAATATGGATAAATTAGAATAACTTAGCAATTTAGAATGCCAATGCAAGAAATAGGGTTTAGGAAATTTCCTCTCCTAGACATATTTTAGAGCAAATAAGCTAACCAAATAAGCTAGGCCCCCTGGGCTATTGCCAAATGGACTCTATTGAGCAGCAAAGAAGTTTTGATGTAATTAGGTGAGGAAGGCAAAACTTGTATTCAACATGACTAGCATTCTGGTATCTCAGAAAGGTACCAAGAAGTACAAAAATTATTGCTTGAAACTGGTATCTAAGATACCAAAAATTGTATCATACCTTAGGTGCCAAATAATGGTACATCCTACGTTATAATTAGTGGTACCTCTACACAGATAGTAAGGAATCTCAGGAACATATCAAACAAAAACTACAAATATTGCCTTATATACCCTTCGTATGACTCTGATTCTTAGTCTCATTAGGGTACCAGGTAAACATTTTCCTAGGAACTATGTTTCTGATTAGGTGTTGAAAACCTTCATGCACACCGTAAATGTCAACATTTCAGAGCTGCATACAATGTAGACTTCTTAGGAACACAAGTGAATGCATGCATGAAATATGATTCTTTTCTACAAGACATCTAGCTATCTAATAGTGCCTTAAGCTTGAAAGTAATTGCAAGTATAGGCCAAAAGGAGAAGTTTGAAGCAAAAAGGTGTGGAGAGCCCTTGCAAATAGCTTTTATGGAAAGAACATCAATTTAAACCTAGACTGATAAAGAAATAGATACATAAAAAAAACATTGGCAGTTCACTTAAGCAGTATTCGGTGAATAAATTCAAACAAGGACTTGCATATCCATTTTGCCTCCATCGAGAAAGAAAATAGACACATGAAACCAAATTGCAGTGATTTCCATGAAAATAGTCACTACTCGAAGAAGAAAAAAAGATAATACCAGGCCTCACAGGGTTCAGATTACTCTGGTGAAGAGTAGCCTTTAGATCAATAAGCATTTTGTATCCTTCAAGATGAGCCTGCTGCAGACAATCAGTTTTTAGGATAAACAGAACGTCTTGAACATAAGGCACACGGTGTAATATGGGTAACCACGAACTGCTCTATAAATTCAAAACTAGTAATTTCATATTTCCTCTTGAGATATATCAGAATCACCTCATCATCTTGCTTACTGCAACGCCCATCTTCATCTTGATCGTGTCCTGTGCTGCTCTCCTTTTTAGTATGCTCCATTTATTACACTAGTCAAATGTCATAAATCATGCAAAAGCTGCCAAGCAAACACAACAGCAAATTAACACCAGTAGATAGGGAGTGTTATATATAAGGTAACAACAGACGCTGCAAAATGCCACATATGAAAACACAATCTCTTGTATTAGAACAAACATTCCAGAACTGTAACAACTACCAACTATTGAATCTTCTTCTTTCTGAACGACCTGGCACAAGATCCCCCATGCTAGTAGCGGTGTAAGTGTAACTGACCGTAGAGGCTTCCTGGGGACCTAGTACTAGTAAATGGTGACTCGAATCTGTATGAATCCTCCTAACAAAACAGCACAGGTCACATGCTAGACACCTGACCATACGAACTGGAACGAGAACAGTAGAACGAATGACCCACTTACTGCACTCGTGCGTATTACAGTTTATAGTAGCATCACTGAGTTAAACCGTGAGAGGCGAAGGGTTGGCTAGGTGTAGGTAAGCCCCGTTTAAAGCACAGAGAAACAAATTAATCCGGGCTGTTTAAAGCGGCGTCGCTGCGAGTCTGCGACCTAAAACAATATATCTCAAAACTGCGCCAAAAAAAAAACAAAGGGGAAAGGTGATCAAAACGAGGGGGAGCGCCTGAACCTAGCGGGGAAACGCTGTCAGAATGGCGCTGCATTCTGAGGCCGGCGGACGCGTCGAAACCGGCGCCGGAGCTCGAGCAATTAGCCCGCGAAACATGGAGGCGGGCGGATGCTTACCGTCGCGGTGGTGGTTGCCGGCGACAAGCGCGAAGCGGCGAGGGCTCGGTCGGCAAGTCGGCGAGGGGAGAACTGCAGACGTGATGCGAGTACTGGTAGAATGATAGTAATGGGCCTTGGTGGACTTCAATTTTATGCCGCTGCAAACTCTTGGGCTGGCAACATAGTGATGGGCCTTTTCTTTTTGGTCCTGTAATAACTCTGGGCTTGTGTATGACACATCAAGCGGCCCAGTTTTTCATCGATGCCAACATCTTCTTGGCGCAACGTCATTAGTTCTATTTTTTGAACACTGACGGAAGCTATTCAGAAAACGAGCTTACCTCTGAATGAGATCCAAAAAAACCGAGCTTACCTCTGAAGTCTGAACGCAATCTGATGTTCAGTTGTGTTTTAATCTGAATCTGACGATGTTACGTTTTGCACTGGACAAAAGGAACAAAGTGGAGGAGTTTAACCGCCGACTAAAGTGCTCTACGATCATGACTTGAAAGGCCAATCTCCACTTGAAACTGCATAATCCTCTAGCTGAAAGTTTGATCTCAAGTTAGAATTGAAAGTGACCAAAAGTAAGCGAGCCTGCGAGAGCTTGGAGTGCTGGATTGAAAAGGTGCTCCCGAGCTCACCAACATTATTGAAGTCCTCTAAATAAAAGGATTATTTCATGCTCATTATTAGTTGTACCTATCAGACTGGATATGCACTTGTCAGTAACAAATAACTTTTAGATACGGTGATGTCATCACAGGAGCAGGTGACAATAGCCAATAGGATCAGTAGCACACTGTCACCCTTTTGACATCTAGATAAAGGAATAGCGTGCGCGTCCCTCTCTTTCTGTCCACATTGTTAGGGAGCTTCTTCAGATTGCTGCGCATTCGTAATCGATAAGTCTTGCAATTTGTAAATGCTTTTCTTTTTAATATCCTTTCTCCCTTCAGGTATGGCCATAGTAATGCCTTCTTCAGGTTTGGTCTTATATTAGTATTCTTCAGTGAACATCAGGGGTGAGGTATGCAGGCCTTTGGTTTGGTATTAAGTGTAGGCTATTGGTTGGACAATTATTGTTGGTCCCTTCATAGTATAAGGAAGAATTGGACTAGTGACCTAACAAGATCTTAAATCTGGAATTTTCAGAAGTATATGGCTCATCAATACGCAAGCACACAATCTAGTACAGGATCCGATCGGCGGAAAAGGGATCGTCACATCTAAATCTAAAGTTCATAAAAGTCGACAACATCCAAAATTCCAAATTGTGCTGACCAGGATCGATCGGCCACCACGAACAATGCATGACATTTCCAGAATGAAGTTGGGCAGACTTCAGAGTTTGTGAAAGCTAATGGTCGGGGATTGTTTATTTCGTGCTCGGGTGAAAATCTTCTTCCCCACACCCATGGTTTTTTGCTTTCCTTTTCTTAGCTTGCGTGGAAAGAAATAAAACTGAATTCAGATGAAACACTTCGAATCAACTTTTGTTGGGGGTTCAAAAAAACAGACGGTAATGTTTTGAACAGTGCGTCTGTCCGCCCGGAAGCTTCGGTTGGTGGGCCGTGATGCCCAGATATCCGCTCCCCTCCGGTCACGGCAGTTTCTCAAAAAAATAAAAAACTCACCGCAGCGCTGCGCGATTCGCCGCACAGTCAGCGTTCTCCACGGCGTTTGGACGCCCGCCGGCTGGCATCTCTACCACGCCGAGCGTGGCTGCCCGTCTTCCACCCTCTCCATCGCGTCTCCTGTCCTCCAAGGCCGACCACCTTCCTCCCTCTTCACCACGCCTCCCGCCCGCCTTCTCCACTGGAACGACCCGCGTGTGGCCTTCGTCCGCCAGACCTGCCACGACCTTCTCCACCAGAGCGGCGAGCTCCGCGCCACCAGCGAGCCTCCATTCTCCCGAGCAGCAAGGAGATGTTGCGTTGAAAGCGCATGTTTCAAGTGTTTCAGATGTTTCAGAGATATATTGCAGGTATTTCATATGGCTATTGCAAAAGTAGATAGGAATGTTACATATGTTGCGATGGCTATACATATATGTTGGAAGTGTTTGTTCCAAATATTTTATCTGTTTTTCAGACGTATGTTGCAAGTGTTTTATCTGGATGTTGGATATGTTTCACATGTATGTTGCAAATGTTTCAGCTGGATGTTGCATATGTTTGGAATGGCTTTCAAGTATTTTTCAGGTGTTTTGCAAGTGTTTCAAATGTATGTTGCAACTGTTTCAGTTATTTCGGGTGTATGTTGTAAATGTCTTATCTGGATGTTGCAAAAGTAGATCTGGTGTTGCAGTGGGACACACCTGCCGCAGCCACTTGCTGCAGCTGCTGGAGCGCCGCTGAGTGAGCGCAAATGGCACCCGCGTGCATGCGCGTGGGAATCAGAGGGGGGCATGAGCGGTCCCGTGTGCAGGCGTGCAGCACGGGCAGGGTGAGTCATCCAACGAGTGCGGGCCCCCTCGTGGTCGTGCGAATCGGGGTGCGGCGTGGGAAACGGAGTGTGGGAATCCTAGCGGCGGGTGCGCGACCCGGTGCAGGCGTGGGCGTCCGGACGCGGGCGGTTGTCTGGACATCCAGGTGCTAGCCACGTCCAAAAACAAATCTCTCTTTCATACCCTTTTTTTAGTTACCATGCATCAACTTTTGTTGGATTTACTCTCGATTTATACTAAAATTATTGTGATTATTTTGGTCTAGTTTCTAGGTAAAATTAGTGTAACTTAAAATTCGGGTCGGTGCAAAAATATTCACCCGGTTCCTGCAATACCTTTAACTTGGCTGTGGAACTCTTCTAAAAAACACGAATATTTTCTTCTAACATGCTCACTTTAGGTGTAAGAAGGAGTTTTTTACCGGGATATGATATAGCAAACTGGCTTGGGTATATTTGGTTCATGGCCAAACATTGCCAAGTCATAGTTTAGCCGCTGTCATAGTTTCTTAGGTTGTTGTTTGGCTTCTCTGTCGCAATTGTGGCCTGTCACACTTTTAACCCATCTCTCATTAACTTATTTCTTTGCCAAACCATGTCTAAGGTGTGGCGAGAAAATTGTTATACATGTTTAGCAAAGAAGTGTGGCCATGTGTGATCATCATCCAAACACACCGGACAAAAAGAAAATACTACATGACAGTGTGCCAAAGCCAAACTGAAAAAGCACATTTCGTATACAAAGCAAAAGTTACTACAGAGGGTTTGATAAGCAAAAGCTATCAAACTTGAAGCTTAAAATTGACGGAACAGAGCAGCAATGATTAATATATTTTGCAACCGAGAACACATGGATTCCTAATACGAAATTGGCTTCTCAGTTCCTGACCAAGAATTTTTTTGGTCCATGCAAAAGTAATTATATATAGACGGTTTGTACATGCTTTCTTTGTCACATGAGAGTGATCGAGTGACTGAGAGAGAGAGATGGCACTTTGGTATTTTTCAGAACATACAAGCAGCAAGTAACCAATGCAAATTGCAAGGCAATGAGTTTTTTGTAATATGAATGCATGCAGAGCTGGAAGGTACAATATCATCCAAACTCTCTCGGTTCAAGCTCTGATGTGCGGATCCTTCTACGTGGGACTAAAGTTTAGCTGATGTCACATCGGCTATTTAGATACTAATTAGAAAGACTACACATGAGCCTAATTAGGCTTAATAGATTTGTCTCGTAAATTAGTCTCAATATGTGCAATTAGTTTTGTAATTAGTCTACGTTTAATACTTTAAATTAGTGTCAAACATCCGAGGTAACATGGACTAAATTTTAGTAGAGGGAACACAGGTCATATTTATTTTTACTTTATTTATTTTGAGCAAAGAAGGGCGGTTTATTCTTTCTCGTAGGCTTTTTCAAGTAAATCTGAGCAACCTGATCGAGCATATCCCAAGAATATTTCTCTTATATAGGCTTAAAAGTGGGATAAGGCTGCTAGTAGAAATATTTCAATGGTAACACTAACATGACAAAGCTGGAAACTGCCACCTGTTAGATGGAGGACCAACAACATATTTCGTCTATCAGTGACAACGAGAGATCAAAATCTGCAGGGGGTGACGATACACAACACCATCAACGACCTTCCAGCGTAGCATGAGGTCATGATCATGAGCAAATATCATCTGTGCGCTTGCGATTGCGAGAGAGACGCACAGATAGATGGGCATGGGCCAATGCGGCGGCATGAACATGGGCGCCTTTGTTTTACGCAGCTAAA